GGTTCTCACAGCATCCACTTCCTGCAGCCCTTATCACTGCTGAAACTGCACCATTATTTATCTGCTCTTTTTCTCACACCAGCCATAAAACTCCATCAAGGCAGGGCTATAGATATCACCTATGTCTCAGTGCCTGACAAAGACCGAAACTGCTCAATAAGAACAGGTGTTACTGAATTATTGAGGTAGGTAGGAGGTGGTGGAGATTAAACATCTCACTTCTTTCTCCACTTTGAACTCCATGCTCCAATGGATCCCTTAAGTTTCCAAGCCCTTCGTCCCATTCTCTCTCCTCTCTCCTGTGTCTAGAGGGTCTTTCTGGGAAGTTCGTGAGAAGCCAGAACAACTGAAAGGTGGATCACAAAAAGGCCCAGGCACTGGTGGGCAGGAAGAGAAGGGACCGGCTAAGACGTGATTCTGCAAAGACAGTAAGCCTATTAACCTTTGATCTAGAACCGGAAATACCATTTGACCCAGCAATCCTATTACTGAGTATACCCAAAGGAATATAAATCATTCTACCATAAAGACACATGCACACATGTTTATTGCTACGCTGTTTACAATAGCAAAGACTTGGAACCAACCCAAATGCCCATCAATGATGGATTGGATAAAGAAAATGTGGCACATATACACGATGGAATACTATGCAGCCATAAAAAAGAATGAGCTCATGTCCTTTGCAGGGACATGGATGAAGCTGGAGACCAACAATCTCAGCAAACACAGGAACAGAAAACCAAACACTGCATGTTCTCACTCATAAGTGGGAGCTGAACAATGAGAACACATGGATACTGGTGGGGGAACATCACACACTGGGGCCTGTTGGGGCATGGAGGGTAAGGGGAGGGAGAGCATTAGGACAAATACCTACTGCACGTGGGGCTTAAAACCTAGATGACAGGGTGACAGGTGCAGCAAACCACCATGGCGCATGTATACCTACGTAACAAACCTGCACGTTCTGCACATGTATCCCAGAACTTAAAACAAATAAATAAGACAATTGGCCTTTGATCCTTTGCCTCTGCCCCCCAGTCAGGTGGGCTGCATTTATCCAGTACCCGGGCCGACTGCCCCAGGGCTGCAGAATTGAAACCCTCCACTGGGTGGCACCAGATCACCACCACCTGTGCCCACCCATCCAGGTCTCCCAGGGCTGAGTGAAGGAGCGGGGCAGGCACCCTCAGGAACTGTGAGACACCCGCTATCAGTCCTCCCCATGACACAGCACGGTGGGGACACGCTACTGGTATCCATGGAAAGTCCCTGTCCCCATCCCTCACTCCCCAAACATTCTTTCTTGTTTTGGTTTTGTTTTGTTTTGAGACGGAGTCTCGCTCTGTCGCCCAGGCTGGAGTGCAGTGGCCGGATCTCAGCTCATTGCAAGCTCCGCCTCCCGGGTTTACGCCATTCTCCTGCCTCAGCCTCCTGAGTAGCTGGGACTACAGGCGCCCGCCACCTCGCCTGACTAGTTTTTGTTTTTGTTTTTTTTTTTGTATTTTGTTTCAGTAGAGATGGGGTTTCACCGTGTTAGCCAGGATGGTCTCGATCTCCTGACCTCGTGATCCGCCCGTCTCGGTCTCCCAAAGTGCTGGGATTACAGGCTTAAGCCACCGTGCCCGGCCTCCACCTCCCCAAACATTCTAATCTTCCTGATCAGCTTGCTCAAGGAGGGGCAGCTAAGAAGGGGGCGGAAAGAGATCACAAACGGGGTTTTGAGATCTGGGGCTTTCCAGTCTAGCTTTCATCACAGTAACCCTGAACATGCCACTTTACCCACCCCACACGCCGCATCCCAAGTGTTCCTTTGCTCCTTTATTCATTTACTGATGTTTAAGTGTAGTTATCATGAGTGGTGACCGACAGTAGGGATGGTGAATCTACTCGTCTGCAGGTTGGAGTGGGGTCTATACCTGAGCACGCTTTGTTGCCAAGTGCTCTCTATAAACACCAAACCTTCTTAACCTTTTTCTGTGTTTAACTCTTGGCACCTTTTTGGATAACCAGCCTGCAGGTTCACAAACCAGGACCAAAAGTAGTAGCTAGCTGGGCACGGTGGCCTGTGCCTGCAGTCCCAGCTACTCCGGAGGCTGAGGCGGGAGGACTGTTTGAACCCAACAGTTCCAAGCTGAGGCCACAGCGAGCTACGATCGCCTCTGTGAACAGCCAGTGCATTCCAGCACGGGCAACACAGGGAGACCCTGTTTCCTACTTTTTATTATTATTATTTTAAAAAGTAGTAGCTTTTATATCCAATCGTTACCTTTTCACAGCCTAAAAGAATGACATTCTACCTCCCGATCCTGGGACTGGTGAACAATGCACATTCGCCCTCTCCATGTACTGCATGATTTATTTTTGTTACCTGGAAGATACCTCAGCAACCAAGATTACCGTCCAAAAAGAGTCTGACTCAATCCGCCTGTCTTTAGGCAGCCACTAGCTATCAGGGCCTGAGTCTCTAGAGCTCACCTCTCCTGAATTCCCCATACCGGTACCTACTTTGTAGCTTTTTTTTTTTGAATAAAAAATTGTATCTATCTTCTATAAAAGGAAAATGTGTTCATTTTAGGAAATTTGAAACATAGCAAGAAGTGTAAAGAAGATAAAACGGCCCATGATCTCAGACCAAAGTTTCTCAACTTCAGCACGATTCACGTTTTCAAGTTGAGCGATTCTTTGTCATCGTGTCCCGTGCATTGCGAGATACTTAGCATCATCCCCGGTGTCTGCCCACTAGTTGCCAGTAGCACCCGCTCCCCAGGTGTGACAATCCAAATGTCTCCAGACATTGTCAAATGTCCCCTGAATGATAGCCATGATCTCAGACGCAGAGCCACCACACATTTTCCAGTTTATTTTTCTTCTAGTCCTTCTTCCTAAGTATAGATTTCCTTCTGCCAAATAAGACTGACTATACATGCAATGTGTGTCCTACTTTTTTTACTCTGTATTACGTTGTGAGTACTTTCCCAAATGATTGCATTTTCCTCAGAAGCATGCTTGCTAATGGCTGCGTGATATCACTGGCTAACCTCCAGCACCATGATTCCCTTTATCCATCCCCTGTTGCGGGACAGTTAGGCTGGGTCCAGTGTTACGGTGCTGTAAATAATGCTGGAGTGAACATTGCACATAAATCAGAACCCCTCAAGATACCCCAAGAACAGACACTAGATGAGAAATCCCCGTGTCGATGACTTATAATGCACACTGTCGAATCAGCTTCTGAGATATCAGTTATACCACTGCCCATTCTTTAAAATGGATGAGTAACAACTTCATAGTATTTCAGAAGGGATTATGTTTTGTTAGGGAAGAAAGAATGATTTTGAGGGTGGGGAGCTCTTTCTCATATTCTTCCCGATGATGCCGAGGGTAGCATCAGATTTTCTGTCATTGTTGCTGAACCACATCCGAATTTAGGCTGATGTCTTCCGAAACAGTCTCAAATCAGGAGACAAGTAAGTTTCACTTCAAACAAGTTAACAGACTCTGTGTTGAGAAGGCAAGCTGGGGGCTCAGCAGGAAACATACAAAGCCAGGGTTGATTCATGATGGGTGATGTGAGCAGAGGAGAGAAGGGGACTGACAGACCAGCTGTGTGCTACTGACTGCTAGTCCCCTGCTCAGGAGTGGTGCTCAGACCTACAGTATCAGCATCACCTCGGGGCTGGCTGGAAACCCAGAACCTCAGCTCCCACCCTACCCTAGACCTCCTGGATTAGAATCTGCATTTTAACAAGAGGCCCAGCTCACTCTAAGTCCATCAAAACGTAAGAAGTCCTGACCTACACTGAGGTCCAAATTCTTTTCCAGAATTCACTGAGCTGAATCGAAGCCCAACACTCAGCCTCCTAAGAGAACGACTTAGTAATGTTCCCCCAGATTAACACTCTTGTCCACGTTAAAGCTGAGTGTCACATTTCAGCTGACTAGACTAACAGCCAGTGGGTCTCCAGATGTTGCCAAATGTCTCATGGTCTCAGATGCAGACAGAACCATCATCAAATATTCCGGTTTATTTTTCTTCCAGTCATTTTTCCTTATGTTAAGTATAGCTTTCCTTCTTCCAGTGACTGGTACATAGAATCCACTGCACAAGCAGCTACTGTCATCATCAACATCATCAATATTATCATCATGATCATCATCAGTGACCATTATTGTCATCGTTTTCATGATCACCCCCAGGGTTCTGGCATTTTAATTCCTGGAAAAGGTTACTGGAGTTTGGAAGCTTCATTAAGAACATCTTCCTGATAATTTATGGGGAGACTAAATAAGGCTAGTCCTCAGTTTTTTAGGCACAGCTTAATACAACTAGAAAAGCCGTAAGCATTGACATCAAGGTCCAGTCTAACCACTGAGTAATCCTGTGAGCCTGCACAGGTCACAAAACCGGTTGGAGCCTCGGTGACCTCATGCATACCTTGAGTTGTTACTGACGCCTAACTCACATGTTTGCATAAGCATCAAGTAAGGACGGAGACTGAGAAAACAGTTTGGAAATTGTACAACATACTCCCATTTCCTTCCATCTCATAGCTGTCTCTATGCTAGTTGACCAAATGAGATGATCAAATTTTACTAAATTCCATTCTGGGTAATCTGGCCGTGGGAGGGGCAGGGTAGAGAAAAGGAAAATTGTCTGGCACATTCACACTCTTAAAGTGATGAGAAACACAGGCTTCAGGTAGCAGGAATCCAGACCAGAGAATGGAACTCTCTGTCCTAATGGTTTCAACCCCATCCCCATCAGCCCCTCCTCCAAACCACCCTCGACTTCTAGAAAACCAATAAAACACCATCACCCAAACCTCTCCCCATCAGGGAACACTGAAACCACCCAGATACAGCAACCACTTTCTACCTGGGGGCAGAACTGGGCTGCAGCCACCTGGACTCCCATGATGGACTTGTCTGTAATGAAGCCTTCCTGGGCCTGCAGAAGCAGCGAGCTCTATACTTCCCTTAATAGGACCCCTTACCTGGGAATCACCGGTGGATTTTCGGACACTCATGTGGGCAGTCTCTGGAGGGTGCGCTGGGGTCCCTGATGCGTGGTATCCATTCACTGCAGGGACAGAGACACGGCTCAGATGCTGTGTGGGCCACAGACGGGCACCCCCACCTTTCGTCCACTGCAGCCCCTTTTCCCACCTCCTTCCCTGGCTCTGAGAGGTCTTGTGTGGCGAAGGCTATCCCTTAGGATCTCATCTTATCTGTATCTGCAGAGCTGGAAATGGGCCTATCTCTCTAATCCTCAGCACCCAAATTACCGAATTCTTAGGGGCCTGAGTTTCTTCTTTAACCCAAGAGCAAAAGGAATGTGCCTAACAGGAGGGGAGGTCACTATGGTCCAGCTGCCATTGCTACAAATACCACATCAGTTGTAGTTACAAATGTCAATCACGGGTCCAATCTCCCTCCGTAAAGTCGGGGCGGGGATATCTCCACCACCTTCCGACAATTTCCCTCATCTTTCTTAATAACTTCTCCACCCTCAAACTCAGAGCAGCGGAATGTGAGTGTACTGGAAAGAGGACTGGGTTGATTGGCCACCGTGAAATTAGGCTCCGTCAATTTTTAATAGTCAGGTGGTCATATGCACTTCATTCTTGAGTCACCGTTCTTCTAGAATTAAAAATACATAACCTGGCTTGGAACAGGGGCTCATGTCTGTAATCCCAGAACTTTGTGAGGCCACGGCAGGTGGATCATCTGAGGTCAGGAGTTCGAGACCAGCCTGGCGCGGTGGCTCATGCCTGTAATCCCAGAGCTTTGGGAGGCCAAGGCGGGCAGATCACCTGAGGTCAGGAGTTTGAGACCAACCTGACCAACATTGGGAAACCCCGTCTCTACTACTGAAAGTACAAAAAAATGAGCCAGGCGTGGTGGCACATGCCTGTAATCCCAGCTACTCAAGAGGCTGAGGCAGGAGAATCGCTTGAACCCAGGAGGTGGAGGTTGCAGCAAGCTGAGATGGCGCCATTGTACTCCAGCCTGGGCAACAAGAGCAAAACTCATCTCAAAACAAACAAACAAAACAAAAACATTATCTGAGGTTCTAAAATTCTACCCTTGTAACTTTATGTCTCTTGGGGGACCCTCACTTATGCTCCCAACACTTGCTTTCCAAGGGACGGGGGAGCCCTGATATGCAGTATCTGCCGATTTCTGTGCCAAAGACACTCCCAGCATGGACAGTTTCAAGTCCCAACACCGCCGCACGCACGCTCCTGACATCACGAAGTCACACTGGGACCCACGTGATCTCAGTCCCCAGGTGGTACCGCTCTTGTAGGAATATAACTACATAAGCGTAGATGAGCAGCTTCTCCTCTGTGACCCTCAGCTTCTGTACCTGTAAAATGGGGATAATTCTACCTAGTCTCCTGACCTACTGTGTTGATGTGAGAATCCAACAAAGGATAATTGCAAAAGTTATAAGGAGTCACAAAGCACTTCGTTTTAAGAAGGGAAGGATGAAAGGCAGGGTGCGGTAGCTCACGCCTGTAATCCCAGTACTTTGTAAGGTGGAGGCGGGAAGATTGCTTGAGTCCAGGAGTTCCAAACCAGCCTGGGCAACGTAGTGAGACCCCATCTCTATTTTTAACAATAGAAAAAATTTAAAGAAAAATTTAAAAGGGAGGGATGGCCAGGGGCAATGGCTCACACCTGTCATCCCAGCACTTTGGGAGGCAGAGGGAGGATTGCTTGAGCCCAGGAGTTTAAGATCAGCCTGGACAACACGGTGAGATCTCATCTCTACAAAATAATAATTATTTTTTAATTAGCTGGGTGTGGTGGCTCGTGTCTATAGTTCTAGTAACTCGGGAGGCTGAGGTAGGAGAATAGCTCGAGCCTGGGAGGTGGAAGCTGCAGTGAACTGTGATTGTGCCACTACACTCCAGCCCACACTTCAGAGTGTCACACCCTGTCTCAAAAAAGTGGGGGAGCAGAGGCATGCAGAAGGGGAAGGTCATTGCTTTCGTTCCTGAATTGAGTCCCCAGGAACCACAAGCCTGCCTGATCTCTAGAGACCAGGACAATGCACCATCCCCGTGACCCAGGCTTCTAGTAATTGCCAACACGTATACACAATGCGGGTCAGACTGGAGGAAGATCTATACACTGATGTCCAACTCATGATTCTTCTAGAGAAAACTCTACAGCGTGGCAGGAAGCACAGGAGAATATGGGTGAAAGTTACCACCAACACCTACTCATCTGGAGCGACAAGGGCTGAAGGGAAGCGCTGGGCAATGGGATGACGAAGCCTGTTCCACGGAGAACCCGTCTCCTGCTCAGGTGGTGCCCCATTTTCCAGCACCTGCAGTGAAAACTCCAGGGGCCAAGCGGGGCCACGTGCAGCCGAGTGCCTGTGGGCAGTTGGGCTTCTCCCCGAGCTACAGTGTTTGCCCTCCACTCCAGAATAAGGTGGTTGCACACATCCCAAGGAAATAGAAAGCTGACCCACAGCAGGCCCCTAGTACAGTGGAAGCTTGGGGAAGCAACAAGAAACAAACAAATCCACCCTGCAGGGCCAGCTACAAGCCTGGGCCACACCCACGCCCCTGGAGCAGCTGGCCAAGGGCAGACACCATCCACCCGCTATGAAGGCAGCTTAAGAGGGGAGGCCAGGATTCCAACAGCAACAGGGAGAATGTGGAAGGGGCGAAGGAGAATCCGCTCCAACTGGCATCAAGCTATGCCAGGAAGGACATGAGCCTGATGATAAATACACCCCACAATGAGGGCATGAGAGCCGAGAAATTTTAGCAAATAGCACAGAACTGAAACGGATAAAACACAGATGCCGAAAGACCTAAAGACAACAGAAGAAAACCTCAGAACAGTGCTTTCAGTTTAGGACCGATTAACAGACAGAAGCAAGGAGGATAAAGACAACCCAAATAATTTAATTTAAAGGGCTGATTGAAATAGATGTAGTAAACATCATATCCTACAAACAAAGGCAACATCTTCTGCCAGGAAGCCCTGGAACATTTAAAAACGTGGTCATATTTAAGCCACAAATAAACTGTCAATAAATGGCAAAAGGCAGAAAAAACACAGGCCACATTCTTTGACCAGGAAAGCAATAAAAGTAGATAATAATAATGAAAGAATAAATATACAAGATCCCCATCCCCCCAACTCCTAAACACTTGGAAATGTAAGAAACTGCCCTCTTAAATAACGCCAGATCAAAAAGGAATTTAAAACTGTAATTACACAATATTTAGAAAATAATAAAGAAGAACATATCAAAACAAATGGGATAAAGTCTGAATTATACTTGGAGGAAAATCCACAGCCTTAATTTTTTCATTACCAAACCCAAAGCAACAAAAATAAATGGACTAAACATTCAACTTAAGATTTTAGGGAAAAAGTTTAAAGGCCAATAAAATACGCCAAAAGAAAACAGGAGAAAGGAATAGAAAAGTGGCAACAGAAATTAACGAGTCAGGAAACACGAGACCATTAGCAAACCATGACTGGTTCAGTGTGTGTGTATCACAACAATAAAAACAGCAGACAAGCCAGGGAAATTTGAGAGGGAAAGAGAACACAAATGCTCAGAATTAGGGATTAGAAAGAAAACAATGACACAACAAATATAGTAGAAACTTTGTCTTTTTTTTGAGACAGAGTTTTGCTTCATTGCCCGGGCTGGAGTGTAATGGCGTGATCTCGGCTCACTGTGACCTCCTCCTCCCAGGTTCAAGTGATTCTCCTGCCTCAGCCTCCCGAGTAGCTGGGATTACAGACACCGGCCACCATGCCCAGCTAATGTTTGTATTTTTAGTGGAGTCGGGGTTTCATTGTGTTGACCAGGCTGGTCTCGAACTCCTGACCTCAAGTGATCCGCCAGCCTCAGCCTCCCAAAGTGCTGGGATTACAGGCGTGAGCCTCCGCGCTGTACTTACAGTAGAAACTTTTTAAATGCAAGAACCTATGACTTAGAATTCTATATCTTCAACACCAAACCTCCCATGAGATTCAAATCATCAAAAGGGTTTCAAGAGATGCCAAAAAGAAGTAAAACCTTTGAAAAATGGCCTCCCCCCAAAAAGGCACTGGACCCAGATGGTTTGATGGGCAAATTCATTCACACAAGAAAGAAATATCCAGGCATAGAAATGTGTGGCAGTCTTCTAGGTCTATTTTACAAAGCCAACATGACCTTGATCTTAAAATCAAACAATACACAAGGGAACCACGTTTAGTCTGCTGTCGAAAATGAAATGCACAAGTTTTTACCTGAGTAGGTAATACATATCTTTGATAACGCTGAGTCCCCATGAACCAAGGTTGTCCCAGCTCCTGAGGAGACCCGGACTCCCTCCCTCCCTAGACCCTCCAAATGCATGTTCAGTCCTACCTCTCCTCTGCCCCAGTGTTTCCCCACACTTGCAGCCACCAGGAACTGTATAAAGGGGAGACGTTTCGCCCCAATCCAATCCCTTGTTCTCACTTCGGTTCTGGTCTGTCAGCTGATAGCTAATTACTGCTCATGTCAAAACAATTACTAGGAAAGAAAACATAACTTTCCATTCGACCCTTTCTCCCCACGCAGCAGCTCTCCTCGGACACCCTGTCTGGCTGGGTACCACTCTCCTGGGCAGATTCAGAACACGTCTCAGTGGAGATCTAGACAGTTACAACCCACAAGATCCCGGCAACCTTCACCCACGGCATTCCTCATTGCCATTCCCCGTCCTCGGGGCTCCCGGCTCACCCAGGGTCAGCCGCAGAACAAATGAGGCCAGAAGTGGGTGCTTCTGGAACCCCCAGCCTCCCGGGGAGGAAAAATGAAACTGGTCAAGGATCGCTCATAAAGGGCACATAATTCAGTCTGGAGATACAAGGAAAAAAAAAAAAAGGCAAATGTCACATTCAGCTGTTTTTAGGATTTTTAAAAAGGGAACTAAAAGCTCTATCTAGTTAGTAACCTTAGCAGCTTCAAATACAAATAGACACACAGGCACCCACACACTTCATGTGCCTTATGGGCAGTGAAGCAACTTGAGAGGGCTTAGGAGGTGTCTAATGAGAGGAGGGGAC